TTGGTTTGTGCAGCTGTAGACTTTATTACACTGTTTTTCACAACTGTCACAAACCCAGTACTTGGTGTACCGATGGCGAGCTCATTCCCCCCCGAGCCTTTTGTTACTGTGTTACAGTGTGTGGAGTCAGTGGGTAGAGCTTCAACTAGTTTACAGTGACAGAAAGCCAGTGTTGGGGGCTGTGCAGGTTGCATTATATAAGTTTTAGCCATGGGCACATTAAACAGGAATTATGTTGGATAAAACCAGAAAGTTGAGAGCAATCACAGTAAAGTCTAAACCTCTCAACTTAAAGGTAAGATATGCAGCTTGTGGTTTTACTGGTTTAAAAAACTAACTACAATCATAACTTACCAGTGCCTTAAGCTAAATACAGAGGAGACAAATACATTTTCTTCGACAGGCCATGGCTCATGTGAAAGCTCAGAACCTCCAGAATCCTCTCACCAAGTTGCAGAGGTTGCACTAGCACTGACTCATGATTGTCTTGCCAGTGTTGTGCTTTACGTGACCGTTCAGATGAGAGAGAGTACTTTTAGGTTGAAACCAACTGGAATTTAGAAATGGATCTGGTAATACAAATGAGAGATTTACCTAAGGCTCATTATCATCTTGAGAACCCAAACACCAAATGACAACATCAGCAAAATGGTCATAATATAAAAGGCTTTTGTAAATAAAAATAAAGCAGAATTGTTATCAGTCAAAACAATACTTGATTTTGAACAAGTCTAGATGTGGAAGGGCATCTGGTAAAATAAACAGCTGTACATAACAAGGATATGTGACACTTTTGAAGACAACATGTAGCTAGCACCCAAAACATCTCAGGGTAAATACATCTTGTTAACAACTATCTGCCTAAAAGAAAAAAGATCTGTATACAAATGATTGCACACTGCAAACGAAGCCAAAAACAAAAGCTGAAAAAATTACTTTTAATCATCTGAAACAACAAACAGTGTACTTTCTGCCAAGCTGAAGTGGATTGGACTGAAACTTTACACAAAGCAAAAATGTCTAAACAGTTGAATCTTCAGCAATTAACTCTGATCATTCTCACTGTGTCACTCTCAGTGTGGTGGGGCTAAGTAGGAGTAAAAGCATCTGCTCATAACTGTTACCAGACTAAAGCTTCAATTCAACTCATGCGGTATGTATGAAGAAACTGTAGAATACAGTATATATTTTGAAAGTTGAGCCATTCCACTGCTACAGACCTGTCATCCCCTCTCCCTCTCTCCCTCAGTGGAGCAGGGAGATTGATTCACAGACAGACTCCTACACAGTTAGTCACTGTTGGCTTTTTCACGATACACCAGGGATAAAGCTGCTTTGGTCTGTAAGGTTATGGTCTCAGACAGGTGTCACAACATGGGACAAATAAAAACAGCAAATACTGACAACAGACGGGGGTTTATGTGGATACAGGCAGTGTTCACACTAAACAACCATTTTTGGTAAGGATGTATTTAGTAAATAGAAAAGACAGGACAAAATGGTAATATATGGGAAACTCAAAGTAAACTTCCCCAGTTCACTTTAAAATAATTAAAAAGTTGCCCATTCATCACTTTTACTGTCTTAATGTGTTTCAGTTTCCATTACTAATGCCAAAAGTAGACAAATTGAACACTACACTGTGATAAGTTTTAAAACTCAATGAAAAATACCTTTTTTCTCCATAAAAACTTTCACATAAACTACTTAGTTAGGTTAATTTATTTGGCATTTGTATTTAAAACCACTGAGAACATGTACAAGAAGCTCAAAGTGCTCCAAGACACATTAAAAAGAATCACATGAACAAACAATAGACAATCATTAGTAGTACTTAAAAATATATATATTGTGGTGCTATATCAAAGCACCAGCAGAGCTCTGGCGATGGCGCCTTGCCTCGGCGCCATCTTACTCAGGTCAAAGACCTACTGTATTGTCTCCCAACTTCAATTTTTCATTCTGTCACAAGATCGATGCAACTTATTTAGACAATTACACATGCCATATACAGTATTTCATTTATTTATTTGTTCAGAAGCCTATTCATTTTTCATAACATTAAAAGTGCACAGTGTAACTTTTCTGGAAAGGGGAAACTTGTTTGTGTTAACGATTTGGTTTAAACTGTCCACAGTATGGCATTAAAGTAATCTGTTTTGCATTTATTCAACAACAGGTGTTATTTATTGCTCACATTTCAAAACACCTCAAACAACATCTATCTTAACTGTGAGTAGGGTCGCCTCTCCACAAATCTGACCTGCAATTTGGCTTGCAAGTCTCCATGGAGATATATTTATGGCCATACTGTAGAACATGCTAGGCACATCTCCATGGAGACAAGCAGGTGACGGACCCTCCAGCAGACAAGTTACACAGTGCACTTTTAAAAAATATTCAGTAAAGACCAAACTAAGCTGTGCTTTCAGTGAGGAGTCGTGCTTTCCGTGGAATAAAATGGCCTTATTTTTAAAAAAGTTGTTTCCTCACATTGTTTATGCCTAATTAATTCCACAGTCCTTGGAGTTACATAACCATACTTCTTCACCATCTCCTGAACCGTCCTTGTGTTTTGTTTTGTGGTCCACAACTGAACTCCTTACCCTGTTCACATCTCCCCCCTCAGGGCCCTCATCACCTCTCCAGCAGACCTTATGCATTTATATATGAACCGTATAACAACTGTATAAATCTTACATTACACAGAGATCGAGAAAGGGGAAACAACTCCACTGAAGACACATCAAGAGATTTGGGATTTTTCTTTCTTTATTTATTTTTTGGCACTAAACCATGAGCAGGGAACAGTGGCCCACTTGTGTCGAAATTGATGTCTGTTAAAAGCGATTTCGAAGCGCGCGCATTGACAGCTAGGACGCCTTCCAACCGCTCTCTGTCTTGTTGGCAGAGTGTTGTTCTGTCGGAGTGGATTCTTTACTATGGGGTCTCTTCGGGTTAATGCACTGTACTTGAGTCAGTACATCTACGGGCTGTGTCAGATGCCCCGAGTGCCGCCCCGAGAAGATTCCCAGGGTTAAAACGGAACAGAATGTGGTTTTGTCTGAAATATTTAATTATTAACTTGCTCTTTGCTGACATTTAATGAGTGAGACCTTTTCTGACCTGATACGCTCCTTTCCTTGGAGTGTTTGTGCCTGTCAGGAATACCCAGCAGCTTATTGTAATCGGAAGACAAGCTAGAGTTTTGACTAGATTGTTAACAATGCCTTTAATTTGTCGTGTAGCAATGATCGCTCACCCCCAGCTCCGTAGAATAAATTTCTCATTCATTTTTCCCATAGACTTTACAAAAAAAAAAAAAAATTGTAGTTGAAAGCTTGCTCAGGGCTAATCATCTAAGTTGTAACTAAGACCTATCATTTTTATTTAAAATCTATTTCTGAAACTTTATAATCCACTAATTTTCAAAGCATTTCACCAAGTCTTGAGTTTAAAATGTGCTTTCTGATACTAAAACAACTACGCTATATATATACAGTTGGCACCACATAGCTGGTTACCCTTCGCGATGACTTTGAACTCTTAACAATAAAAATTTAGAGAATGGAGAATTTACTTCAGTAGCCTGTGCTTTTTTCTTTATCATTTGTGTATACACTTTTGACAAACTATTGTAGGACGCTAGATTCTGAAACCCTAACAAATAAGCATATATATTGTAGTGTCTTATATGGGTTATAAATACTAAATCGCTCATCTTTGCAATCACTGGGAAACAATTTACCTAACCATTTTTGTACAAAGCTAATGAAATGAAATACTTGAATTTGTTGCTAACATCTTATATTTATATTCTTGGAAAAATAAATAAATTCATTCAATTCACTCACACAATAGTCCAGTAGTAATCCACTGTAAATAAATATATATATTTCAGTTCAGAAACACAAAAACGGGCTACAAAATGAACAATTGGTTGCAGTCTGTCAGGCATAACATTTAATTAAACCCACCTTCTAACCTCTTGTACGCTTGGCTGGTAGTTCAGGAAAACAACCTGAGATTGGTCTGTGTGTCTCCATAACAAACAATGTGAGACAGAATTAACAATCCCTCAGTAATATCTACAATTTGATTACTTTTTTGGTATAAATTAAACATCTGTTTATCTTAACCAGAACTGTGCCAAGACTAGAATAACATGAATTCAATTATGACTGCTTTGTTTCAATTCAAATTCATTTTTGTCTATTTTCTCGGTAAGTGGTCAAAAACAATGGAAAGCACAGCCCTGAACTGTCTTTTTTTTTTTTTTCTTGGAATCATAGTGGTAAATCATAGAAAATAATAAACCTCATTCAGAATACAGCGCCAATTCTGATGTAGTTGTGTTGTTTGCTAATAAATCCCAAGAATTATGCATGGGTGGCATTATGGATTTTTTAATGCAGTTGTGCTAAAATAAATTATAGCTTTTACAGAGAACAGTTGAATTATGTATCAAACCAAACCAAATGGGATTTCTTTAGCTTAAACATATAGAAAAAAAAAAAAACAAAACTCAGACTTAAAGTATTTAGATGTACAGACAACATTACTATGACTGTAGAGAAGTATTACTCATGCCCTTCAGAAAGCACAAGTGACATAGTTTCCATATCTGTGAAACTTGTTAATAGTAAATAGTGAGTAAATAGTGAGCTATAGGATAAACTGAGGAGTAGAACTATTGCCACACAGTCTAGTTTGGTTCAGGTTTTATATATGCACCATTCCACTCCCAAAGCTTGGGATTTCAGCCTGCAGACCTGCAAACTATTCAGATCCATTAAAATAATGGGAGACTCAACCAAAAGTGCTTTTCGTGCCTTTTCAAACACAGCACTCTGACTTCCCACTTCTTAATCTGTCCTTGAATTCCACTTGAGTCTCAGATATGGCTCTTCTGTAGTGGGAGCTCATATTGGTTTTTGAGATGGCCAGCACACCTCTATATGAGCTCTTCCAAGCGTAGGGATTGACTCATGGTGCTGACAGGCCTTTTATCAAAATAGATCCATGGTTTATGGTAATCCATTGGCATGCCATCTTTTGTCTTTAATGGTGTGTGTAGCTCTTGTCCTTTTATACTGTATATGATGGCCTATGGCTAGCCTGTCCTTCTTTTGATCAATAGGCTCATCGGGGAATGGGATCTGGAGCACACAGTAATTTTCTCTTTCACATTTGTCTTCAGTGACGTGACCAGTGCCACTCCTGGACATTGACAGCTCAGGTGTGAGAAACACATGGGGCTTCTACTCAAACACGAAAACAATCTTGTGAGTCAAGTCAAGTTAGAGGAACTATATGTAAGACTTTTTATTTCAGAAACGTGACCTATCGGTGCTCCGAGATACAAGGTCAAAATTGTAATGCTGATTTATTTTAAATTTTTGTTTCCATTTAAAATGCCTCTCTGTGATCTGAATCCTCATATAAACCCAATCTGCTAATGTAGCCTCTGCAGCTCATTGAGGGAATTCTGGAGGATCTGAGCTTTCACATGAGACACTGCCTGAAAACTTGTATGTGTCCTCTACATACAGGTTTAGGCACTGGTAACTCAGGTTAAAACAGTAAGAGTGCAGGCTGTGCACAGGTTCCTTTTAAAACTGTATAACAAGTAAAAGCACAATTTTGCTCCAAAGCTTAATATTTAAAAATGGAATATAGCAATACAAAGTGAAAATGATCTCAAAAAAGTAAAATTAATTTTCACCTGAATATTTAGTCGGACAAAGAGCATAATAATGAATAATGAAGTTATACATTCATAAAAGTGTAAAGAGGGTTGTATTTGCAAGTCAGATCAGTAGATATTGCTTCACAGATGGAGTCACTAAGGGGGAAACCTGAAGGGCATAAATCCATATTCAATGTTGATTTTAAAGATAGGTGGCTTTTAAAGGACTTGTAAATACAGGATAACTTAGAACAGAGAAATGTATATCAAACCATCTGGCCAGTGATGTATATTCTCACAGCAATCCATATACTTACACTTACATCCAGAATGACCCTCTTTGCACCAGGGATTGTATTCATAAAAATCTATCAGTTTGAAATCTACTGACTCCTGGCATCAAGTCGGACTGATGAACTATTCACCTCCCTGACTGCCCCTTCACTTCCAAATGTAACACAATTTTTTACCATTTAGCTGGCCAGTTATAACTGATTAACTTATAGATCCAAATCTAATCACTTATTTTAAAATTTTAACAAGCAGAGAAGAAATTCATGGATTTCAGCCTCATGTTATAGTCAATGTGCAAAGTTTTGAAGGTTTTTTCACATTCTCAGGATGCCATATTTTGCTTGAAAGGGACTATATTACATTGATTTCTGACCCACTCTGACCAGAACTCCACTTATCAAAAAGATACGTGGAGTTGTGATTTGTTTCATTCTTATAATCTCTGCATGTGTAGGCTTGAGTTCTTCTCTCAAATGGAAAACTGTGTTCCACTTTGTGATGTCATGTGGTAATACAGGAATTACTTCATTGTGTTTTTAACCCCCGAACACCATCGCTATAATCATTTAGATAATTTCATGCCTGGAATTGCTCATCTCTACTGAAAAAAAAAAAAAAAAGGGTTAAAGGTAGCTGTTAAAACCACCACTTCATGACATCATAAGGTGGAACAAAGCATTTTGAGCTCAGACTAATAATAAAGTTATACCCAAACATCTGTAAATGAAACAAAACACAACTCTAGGTACCAACATTCTAACACAGAGCTCACAAGAGTCACTTTAGCATAATATAGGACTTTTAAATTGGCAATCACTTTGGTAACAGTCGTAATTTTTCAACTTTTTGAAACTCATAGATAGGTAGATGGAGGCCACTGACTGCTTGTAATGCTGCAGACTAGAGGCACAAGTGCATAGAACAAAGTGAATGTAAAGGCCAGACTCATTTTATTTCCCTGTAGCAGACCTTTCCCATTAGATACTGTAATAATGTTTACTGCCTTGCTTCTAATTAACCCCTCCCCTTTGAAACTGCACTAGTCGCTATTCTCCTCCGTGTTAACTTTGATCTTTTGTTTTGTCGTGGGGTGTAATTAGGGTGACCGCGAGCCTATACTAATCACACAATCCCAACGCTTGTTAAAGAATATTTAGCAGCCTCGATGTACACCCCAGAGGTTAATGATTTGGAGTAATCCGAACCAACCCAGGCTAAAAACTGAGGCAATCTTTAATCTAGTGAGACTGAGGCTTGACTTTGCAGAGTGCCCAGAGGAAGTAATGTTTTTTCGGCTGGTGGCAGAGTGGGTGACAGATTTATGGTGGTGATGCTGTTTCTCCTGCATTAAACAACTACAAGTGATTTACTGCGAGCTCTTACCGGTGATTTGTCTACATGTTTGTAATATGAATGTGAGAAATGTATTGTTCACGAATGGGTCTTCATCCAAACATACATGCCATCCATACTAATAGAAAGAAGTACATCAACTAGGAGCTCAAGTAGAACTATTTGTCATTATTGTCCTACATCAAATTTTACAACAAATTAAAATTCATACAATTCAGTTAAAGTTAAAGGGCTTGTTTTATTATATTTTCTATTTATAATGTTGATTTCTCATCCAAAACAAACCTGGAGTTGTGTTTTGTTTTCAGGTTTTCCACTTTGTGACGTTATGTGGTAATACAAGAAGTGCTCCACTGTGTTTTTTAACTCCATACACCTTCACTAGAATCATTTGGATGATCTCAGCCCTGGATTTGCCAATCTCTACTGAAGTAGATAAAAGGTAGTTGTTAATGTGAAAACTACCTCTACATGACATCACAAGGTGGAACAGAACATTTTGAGCTTTGGAGATATACACAGATTAATAATTAAGTATTAGTTAGACATGTTTGAATGAAACAAAACACAACTCCATGCATGTTTTTGATGCAGTAATGTGACTAAAAGCACACAAGAGTCATTTTTGTGTAATATAGGTCCTTTAAACTATGTCTAAGGTAACTAGATGTCCCTTTTTACCCTGGACAGTCCCAGTTTTAAGCCCTGTGTCCCTTGTCCTAGCAGATTTATCCTAAACCACTGATTTGTCCCAGTTTTATACAAGAAATGTTCCAGGACCATTTTGATACCTGCCATCAGTAAAGAGAGGCATAAATTGTTATTTGATTAGTAGGAATGTAACAATATCCAAATCTCTCAGTACAATATTATCACGATATGCATCTCACGATATGATATTTATTGCAATATTTTGGAGTGGCAAATATAATTCTAGATAGGACACGTTTTTGCTTTTAAAATACCTGGACAAGATTTTGATGTGAATTATTACTGTCAGAATCCCAAGAATTCAAGTAAAAGTATTTCTTCATGTTGTCTGAGCTGAAATGAATCATGCGACATGTAGTTCCCTAGTTTTATTAGATGTTCCTACTAAAGAGCAATGCATTTAAGCAAAAGAATTTATAATCTGATATATTGTGACAGCTCTTGATATTATTCTGAGACTTCTGACGATACAATATCATGATATTTCAGTTATTGTTACAATCCTATTGATTAGGTAAACTACAGAAACCCATGCTTAAAAATCACCAAAACACAAAGAAAAGGCAACTACACTGACTCACATCAACAATTTTCTTTAATAACGCACACAACAACCCCAAACCGAGAGTATCCCAGTTTTTATTTTGAAAATCTGGTCGCCCTAATTATGTCCCATGTTCATATAAATGCAACAATAGAAATTAATAATAATGATAATCAAAAGTTAAATTCAATAAATAACCAAGCTTCTATCAAGACAACAATAGGTCCAAAACCAATGATCATATCCCAGTGCATTTATCAGTCAGGAGCTTTGACCATTCAGCGTTCTGGGTAAATTCTTTAAGACGCTTTTGTTTGCCGACGATTTAATACAACCTGGTAACCACTGTTTGTATTTCTCCATTTAGAATTGTTATTTAAACTTTACAGTAATTTAAAGTTAAACCTTTGTGTGATCATATTCAGTTACTGTAAAGTCTTAGGGAATAAAAATGCAAAAACTTGGCTCCACGGATGTTTACGCTAAAATGAACTTTGAAACAAATCTCTCGGAAGTCTCCTCTCATGTCGGGAGATGAAAGTTGTCTGAAAAACAAAAAACTCTGCTCTACTCTCCATATCTGGTGCAGGCCTCTCTGTATTCTGTCCCTTTCTCACATCTAAGATCTGATATCGGCGGATTGGCTCCTATCTCCCTCTCTCTCTTCCTCTGTGTGCGAGTGAGGCAGCTCTGTTTCTGAAAAGACTGCAGAAGATTACTTTGATGTGACTGCTCTGGGGCCTGTGATGGACTCCAGCTTATCCTTGTGTACAGTCAACAGCCTTCCTCTACTCTCGCTTTGGTCTTGTTTTGCTATTATATTTGCTATAAAGTTCTTTTTGGTTTGATGGTCTACATTTATTCATTTATTCTTGTTTGGAGTTTTGAGTTGTTGTGCACAGGCTATTCTTAACCTTGCTGTGCGATTTCTCACTGAGGCCAGAGTATAGCAACAAAAGAATGCAGTTGAAAATACTACTAGGTAAGTTGAAATGCTACTGAGAGCGCAAGCGTACAATGGTAGCCCCATGAGCCATCTTTATTGCTTTGAATAAAGGACCTCTGCTAGAATATATCGTCATCATATCTCATCATGCCAATTCGTAACCCAGGAAATAGCATTGTTACTGGCAGCCATCAATTCTGAATATACTGAAATATATTGGAAATCATCAGGAACTGAGCTAGAAGCAGAGAAGATTCACCACATCCAGCAACTAGTGAGAATTCTTCTAACAAAATCACAGAGGTCTATGGTACATTATGTCTGTTCAAGCTTTGCTACAGTACCAGTATTGAAACTTTACTGTCAAGTATTAACACTCAGTGTTGGTACTAAATATGCTAACGTCAAAACCACAATATCACAGGCACTTATTTTTTACATTGAAGTTTCAACATAAAATAATAGTCTCTTCAGTGTGGTGTTGTAGTTCTATACAGAATATCAAATCCATTCAGCTAGACAGGACCAAATTGTTTTCTGTCCCGATTTCCACTGGGCGTGATTGACAGGAATACCCAATTATAGTAACGCATGGTCCGTTCATTTCTAAGCCATGGTGACTTACAAGTAAAAAAGAATGATGCAAATAGAGGACAAACAGCGCAGATTTATGCAGAACAACAAGCGAAGCATTGAACTAAAACTGTCTCAAAATCCCTTTTTATGTAATTTTGTTACCCATTAC